GGTGATACTAAATTTGTTATCAAGTGACAATTTGCTTTGTTGCGAATCCTTGTGAAAAATTGAGTCTTGGCGAATCATTGTGAAAATCGGCGTTATGGCAAATATAATGATAATTTTTCTGCATTACCAAATTCAAGTTGTATTGATTGCGCTAATTCATATGTGTAATATGACTCTATTTAGAATATATTCTACATAGGAGTCATAGGACTACACTTAACCGGAATCGTACTCAAACATACCTTCGCATCATCTTTACGAACCCCGTATCCACAATGAGTATCAATAACATCAACTTCTTGTCCGGGTACCACGAGACAACATGAGAATGGAACTCCACACGATTCCGCAGGCGTAAACAATCTTCCGTTAATTTCAATTTGAGAAGAACAATTGAAATAAACATTGTTATCCCAATCAGCAGTTCCAGTGTCACCTCCACAACATTGCAACTAAAGAAAAAGTTAAAAATAACTTCCAAATATTTAAATTTTGACAAAGTTTACGAAGAAGTTATTTTTTTGCTAAAAAAGGCTTCTCACAAGTTACCACTGCTAGATAAGGAGCTACTTTAGTTTGGTAAGAACAGAATTTTAGGAGTTTGGCATTGCTTTATTAACCAGGGTCACCATGCTCACTAGTAAAAGATTTTGCTCATTTGTTATTAAATAAGAGTGACAATCAAGATTTGGAGTAAGATGCAGTTCTGAAAAAACTTTCAATACAATTATAAATCTTGATCTTCACACATTTTACCTAGCAAGCCTGATCTTGAGTAACGAAATAATACACTTGCGTATTATAGTGAATCTCAGAATTCGATTTATGAATTCCAATATACCGGTAAACGAAATCCTATTGAAAAGACACTGCACTACATATTTCCACTACACTATTTCAAATATCTCTAATGTATGGTAGCAGGAGGTACAAGTATCAAGACATTAAGGGCTGTCTGTTTAATGACATCATTACATTGCACCAATAAAAACGATACACACGGTTTAATTCAACAATACAACCATTCCATATTTAACCCATTTAACCCAACAGAGAAAAAAGTTTACACAACTTTTATTAATGACAACGAAAAGCAAGCCACAGTGTCTTGTATTCTTATCAGCCCAGACTGAACATGTGACAAAGATTTAATTTGTTCAGATAAGATAATTCAGTTGGTAGAGTAAGTGAAAACAGTAACCAGTCAGCAGTTAACATGCACCAGACTGCGATGACGTTTGATGATACTAATCTATACAAGGTATTCAATATATTCATATTGTAGGCGTATCAGGCCTAAAACTGTGCTGACATCGTAGGTTATGCCCAAGATGTAATAAATTGGCAATCTCAAACCAGAAAGATTCTCTTTCTTCCAAGAATAGCTCATTACTGCTATCAGAGATGCCTTGTTCAGAGCAGAAGGTGCGAATAAGCATTTCAAATAAAAATACCATCTAGAAAATATATTTTTGATTATATTATTCACGATCAGTTACCGTACACATATCAGCATACAAATTAACAAAGGACTAACAACTTACAAAAGTTTGTGAAAAGTCGATTATATTCTGTAGGTCAGGATCTTCTCTGTAACCTTTGATTGTTTTGTTCACAAATAATGCAAACTGCGACTGGAACCAATCTTTGTAAACAAATCCCAGAATTCCAGCAATAAGCTCCGCAAAAAAGATCACACCAAGGCATATTGAGAACTGAAAAAAAACACATTAACCATATGAAACAAACTGATTTATAAGAACAATGATAAACAGAGAAGAAAATTAACAGAAATATTAACATTTATTTCATTATAAATTGAAATGCACGTTCATTTCTAGTAAGTAGTAACTAGTAACCAATGTAAACTAAACAATAGCCAGAAGAGTTAGAAAACTATAACTTCATAATGCCACAGTAAAACTAAAGCAGCTTGATCAGAAATGAAATTTTTTGACTTCTGACATTTTGGTCCGGATAAATGTGATTATTCTGAAAACGTTAAAATATGACACAAGCTAATGTGGTTTTACTGCAGTAATATGCAAATCTGTAAATTTTTCACTCCAAGATTGATTTAAAAAATACATTGTACTCAATTCACTTAATATTCTATGTACCAAACATAATATTAACATGTTAAGTAATTCTGTAAAATTTCACAATTCCATGTCCAACGTGTGGCCAGTGACAGCTGACCTCAGTTTTTTCTCATAAAATTGAAATAATAGAATACTGCAATGATTCATACATTCTAAGCAAAACAAACATTACATATAAAAACGGGTCATTTCGGTCATAATCACAGCAAGAGCTTATTAACAGCATTCTCAATCATTTAAGACAGGGTTACAGAAACATTCAGACATGACACATGAATTGTACGGTTAGTTGTAATTCATTTGTAGCTGCTGCAATAAACATTGTTTTATGGGCAATATTGTGATGGTAAACACAAAGAGACAAGCCAGGCTATTGGAAATAGTGACAAATATTATTAATAACATATCCAAAAAAAATTCACGATTGTTTTTCAGACATGAATTATTGGATCTGATAAGGAGAAAGCATGATCCATAAAAGGTTATTACAATCAATTGTCATGTCACCAAATAATTTCTTTTTATGTACACCTGGTAAAAATTCTGTGAATGGATTACAAGGCTGTGGGGCTGTGGACACAATACATTCCTCACAGAATAACAAACATTGAACTCTATTGAAAAGTGAATCTATCAATTTTGTGTTGTTTATTACAATGTTGAAGCTTTACCAATGAAATGTATTATGAATAAAGGAGGAAAGTTAGATATATGTGGCAGTAAAGATAGTAAAATGTTGGAAAAGTGGGCAATGTTAGGTAAGGGTTGTCAGTAAAGGGGAAAATTTATAACCTTTAATGAAGTATGGGCATTGATGGATTAAGATTGATCAATCCTATAGCATAGATGAAATGTATGTCATGACAAATCGGATTGTATTACAAAACGGATAAACCCTTGAATTTTGTCTCCTGTTACCAAGAACTATTTAAAATAATCAGTTATCACCCCAACGACGTCTCGTCTGACCACATTTCCCCTGCGGTGTTTGCGATTCCCAACAACAGTAAATTTGTACTGGCTCCTAAGCCGAACAAATACATGACCAAACGACGTAGTACCGGAACATTAATATTAAAGAAGAGTAGCTTTTAAATGCTCTCATTTTATATTTAATACGCTATTGTGAGTCCTACCTATAAAACCTTGAGATCGGTATGGATGCCCTATATTCTCGGCATACTGGTAATATAATATATAAGAGTACACAATTAAAATGAAAGTATAAGCTTAGTTGGACAAAACATGGCTATATTATCTTAATTCTTACTGGTCTATTATATATTGCAGACAATAAGAATGTGACTATCTGTAGCGTTGGGCGATAAGTCTTTGGCGCAAACATTCGTATCATATTATTATTATTAAAAATAATTTTGAATTGTTTTCCCATTTCTATAGTGGGCGTTTTTGTTCTTTTTCTTCCAAAACATTTTAAATTAAAACAAGCTCTTATCATCGGCCAACGATATTAGCGTAATAATCCGTACAATGACCACAATCACATACGTCGCATTTGCCTAGCCGAACCTTATATAATGAAACATATCAAATATGGTTTAACTGTCCAGAAAAATTTAGACGAAAAATGACGACAAGAAATTAATTGACGATTGCGCAAAAACTCAGCAAAGAATAACGCTAACTGGGTGTGAGACATGAAATTGTAACAAATATTGTTGCAAATTGTCAATATTTACAAAACCTTGTCAAGCGTAACTCAAAATACACATTTCAGAATCGCATGAATTTGTACTACATTGCAATTTTTATCGGGTTTTGTAAATAGGCTAATTAAATTACAAAGCTTACCACATAAACCCAATACATAATATATCGCATCGCAGAAAATTACAGATGTTCGATTATTTGAATTCCAGTCGAATATAACAATTTCTATTGTATTAACAGAATTTATTCGATAAAATACCAAGCACGCGAAATTACGTTAAACGAGGCAAATAATTCTAAACATTTACGTTCAAAACAAAAATCAGCCACAAGTCGGACGTTGCTATTAATAGAACACCAAAGCTAAGGTGTCGTGAAATGTAACGCTGTTATTTGGGAAATCAAGTTTCGATAAATAATTTATTAAGGTTTAGTGAGAGGTAAAATCATTTCCCCGGTTTGTTCCATTACTGCAAACATTTTGACCTTGGATCATGATTCCATGACCTTGGGATCATATAATCCGCGGCAAAGTAGACGTAAGTAGATATTTAAATTGCGCCATGGGTCGACAGCAATCAAGAGACTGAAATATTATGATAGAAAATGGACGCTTTTCGTTTTACGTAACATTCATACATTAATAATGATATTTTAGCTTGAGCAAACGACCTACTCGGTCACGTGACGTTACACGCACTGGAAATTTTATATGTGTAATGCGGTTGCTAAATTTTGTTACGTCAGACTTCGTTTTAATAAATGCCAATAATACGAGTTGTCGGGTAATTCAAAAGTACAAACACTTTTTCGCTTTATGCTAACGCTAGCCTAGTATTACACTCGTTTTCCAAAACAAAAGTTTGGACATGGAAAATTTCCTATTTCGCTGTTACGGACCGAAGCAAGCAGGTCTGTGGTGGGGTTCTAGTATGTCACACATTGTACATGACGATATAAACTCATTGCAATTTTACGCTCTGGCTACTAAGGTCGAACTAAACGACCAGGGAGAAGTATCGCATTACATCTTAATTTCTTTTAATGGTATTGCCTCCCTATTTATTTAAGCACGTGAGTTGCTCTTCAAGCACCGCCGTTATCCCATATTCATTTTCGTCTGTGCGCCAGTTTTGTTCTGTTTTGGTGTATTGAATCTATCTTTAGAACTTTATTTGGTATTCCGTGCTATTATTGTGCTAATCCAAATCATTTTTGGGAATATGTACGTATGCGTCACATTTTCAATTTAGACTCGACGTCAATTTGAACGAGAAATGCTCTTAAGATATACGAAACGGCGAAATACCGGGCTTTTAATATTCACCCCAATGGCGTACGACGGCCTCTCGCTCGGGTACTAGTCGGGTATGGGATTAGATTAATTTACAATTAACTGTTCCAGACCAGGCCGCACTACTCCACTACTGGTATAGCAACTAATATTGTCAATCATGACGATAATTCAAGCATTCATACATACACGCAGGCTATATGTTTTTTATCCTTAATAATATTCCGCTGTGAATGATCCAAACCAGTTTAAAATCGAAGTGGGCTGATAAAAACGTACGTCACATGTTCTATGACGCACGAGGTGAGAAGAGACGTGTTGAGTCACGTAAAACGTAATGGCTCGTAAAACGCACAGTAATAACAAAATGCCAATTAAATCGACATCCTCATTTAACACTAAAGCCCGATAATCCGAATTACGATTAAGTTAGACTGTATCTAATTTATTCAAACCGTTTTTAATATAGATTTGGCAACCCTATAAAACTAAATGGACGGAATATTTTAAATAAGGAATTAACCTATGTTTCGAAACATTAATCATAATGGCCAATAACGACTTTTAATCATGTTTGGGATATGGCTAAATAATTAAATTAATCAAATTTTACCATCTGCAAGTGTGTAACTTAGGAATGGCTTCCATTGACTTGCAACAAACAAACCCTGAATGAACTGGTTCGATTTAAATGCAATGAAACACATTCTTTGAAAGTGTAAAGAATCTGCAATTTAATATTACATCAATGTCATTTTATACATTTATATTCCTGGGTTACAACTTACAACATACTATTTATTGAAAAAATATATTGGATAAATTTTCTTGTACATATTATGACAATATCCAAATGTATAAAATTATTCAAACTCATGGCTAGAATGTAATACCAATGCACTAAATTGAATGAGTCACTTGAAATAATTTCCTCCTAACGCTGATAATAAAAAAACAATATAAATTTCACTGTATCCTGGTTCCTGAATATCAAATCCTGAAACCATAGCGTGAATTCAATATATAATTTAAAAAGGTTTTGAAATTGTTACCGTACATAAAAAGGAGACTTATATGCCTCAGTCGAAGATGTTGGAATTGGAACATATTGCATTCATAAAATTATGAAAACTCATAAGATGTAGTAAACGTGCATAACCAGTACATGATCATTTTTTTAAAACTCATTTCATTCTACTATGAAGTTAAAATTTTCAAGCCTTCCATTCCTCAGGGTCACTGTTGGCCAGGTAACAATACAATTTCGAGCCTCATAGTACAACAACAAATTGTATTTTATTCTAGACAATGTAGGTTATTCAAGAGGTGCTTCACACTGCTCATTGAGATTACTGGTGTATTTTCAACGTGTTTTGCTCAAAGAAAAGCACAAAACAACGATGGTACAGCAGAAGTAACTTTCATAAGCACAACTTCAGTAAGTCAAAGTAACTAAATCCTAACGTAAACGACTATTCCAAACCCTTGTATAAAGGACTGCTCACTACTTACCACATCTATGTATAATAATAATAATAAAGATAGTTGTGATAATAATTGTACCTGTTTGAACAAGTAAACAGTTTGCGAGGATGGCAAAAACCAATAAATTATCATTTAGAATGCTCCCAACTTGGGTCATGCTTAAACCGTAAAATTTAGAATACGGGTATATTCTTCAAAAAGTTCGAATTCGGAAAAGCAGATGAAGGTTGAGATCAACAGTAATCTCATTGTTCTTAACCAGGGGTTCTCAACCTGGGGTTCATGAGAAGATTTCCAGCGGTACTTGGACGACAGTCGAGTTTTTGTGTGTTGCTGTTTTTTAATACCTTTCAATACTACAAGAGGAAAATGTGTGTTGATTGAAACTAGATGCCAATTGAAACGTAGATTCTCCCTGATGTTGCGTTGATGTGATTGTGACGCAACAATGTGAAATTCACGGCTTTGCATGCAAACTGCGAAATCTCAAAAGACAGCGAGCGTGCTGCGAGCATTGGAGAAAGTGATTATGCTTATTAAAACTTGGGAGAGATTTTAGGAATTCATTAGGTAGGCGGAGGACAAGGGCAATAATATTAACATGAAGATTTAATTTAGTTACATCTGGTCCATAAATTGTTGTTTCAACAAATCGTTAGTCCATATATCACAACTTTGTTCGGTGTCTGATTATCGGGGGTTCGCGTTGATTGTTTTGTGACTCTGGGGGTACTTGACAGAAAAAAGGTTGAGAGCCCCTGTTCTAAATGTTTGAAAATTAAAATAAGGCATTTTTGGGCATATTGCAATACTTCAATTGGACTATGTGATAATTTCTCAAGCAAAATTATTCCGAGAGGTATTGAAAATTAACTTGAATGAAATTTATTCTTTACAATCTTCATACTAATGATGGCAGTAAACAAGTGTTAACTTTTAAGGAAGTAGTAGAAGTTTTACTAAGGCTCAGATTTGATCTGAATCTCCACTATTGAAAAACCCAATAAAAATATGTTATTTATTTCGAAATTCAAAGCAGCCAAATCACTGTTTCATATTATAAAGTTAAAAGAAACTGACCCGTACCCGTCCATAACTGGCTTCTATTTATATCTACAGAAGTTGCATGTGCTAGGTAGGCTACTTCTAATTGTTAACATTACGATATTGAATAAATGAAATATCAAAATTGCATATTCTCATACAGAGTATTCGCAAATGCTCCAAATAACAGTCTTAACAAGCTGAAAGTAATACGTGTAAAGCTGCTATTTAAAATTAACATACAATAGTATAACAGCCAGAACAGAACTGTAAAAATGCTAGTTAAAGTGAAAACCGAACTAGGTGAATGTACACTAGCATATCGTTCCAAAACACAACATTCACAATTATGAGCATATTAGAAAAGTTCTCTTTTTATAATGAAGATAATTAGACATGTGCACACCGTCCTTGAGTTTGAAAGTAATTCACAGCAGCTGTTTCTCATTCCATACATATCATTAAAACAGTTGACTCGATTAAAATAGGTCACAAATACTGGTATTCAGATCCACTCTCGTTTATGAATGCAAAAACAATAAAACATCAAACTCAAAAAAAAAATTAAGTAAACTCACAAATTTTAGAAGACAGATATTTTCTCGTAGTGATCCTAAACATCCAGTAAGGCTCAGTGTGAATATAATAAAAGCAACAATCATAATAACGAGTACTGGATCTATAGGTAACGCACCAACTTTCGTAAGCCTATCGAAAAAACCCTGAAACAAAATATATTGAGTAAAAAGTCAGTAATGGTACCATAAAGAACTCATTTACAATTTAAAATGATTGAAGTGACTTGTTATTAAATTGTAAATTCGTTACTTTTAAATCAAAGTAATAGCATATGTAAAAACTTGCAACGGATTTAATTTAATGTATATTAATGAACGTACAATGACAACTATTCAAATTCGAAATACATGCAACGAAAAAAACCTAGCATTTTGTTCATAGTTATAATCTGTGCCTGATTGACCAATTTTGAATCTGACATACATATAATAATTATATAATATAATAAATTATGCTAGAATGATATCATTGAAAGAATCACAATTAAAAAGCGTTATTTTGAATTGAATCCTTGCACAGCACGAGCTGCTTGAATACAAGGTAAAAATTCAATTGCAGAACAGTGCAAAAGATAAACAGAATGCTTGAGCGATGTAGCTTAAATTTGTGACCTACCTTTTCACTCCATGCCCATATTCCAGCCCCAAGAAGAAACAATCCAACAATCTGAAATAATAATGTTATAAACAATTGACTTATTTTACATAAATCACTTCAGATGCATAGAACAACTGAAGTAGAATTATAACACATTTTTTACATCAAAATCCTAACACTATTAAACATAACAATGATGTGCGAAATGTAGTTAAGTTTCTATCGACAGAATCATTCAAAATCATTATCGTCTCCAATCATTTTTGTTATATTTTTTTATCAATACATGAGATCATTTAATCAATGTGTGCCCATAGTGACGAGCCTAACAGGTGAAAACAGGCATCGCGCAACTCCAAAATTACTAACTGAAACAAGACAACAAGAAAATTATTTTTGTGTGACTATTTTCAACGAGAATCGGGATACAATTACCAAGATTGGCAAGTGCATTTTCAAGTATTTTGTGGCGTCTGAAGCTACCGCAAAACCATGGCGGGATTCTCAAACCACTCTATGGTGAAACCATGGCAGCTGACTTTTTAGCTGCCAGAAACCAATGGCGTGAGACGGATACCACAGCAGCAAATTGAAAACCAATGGCGGGTAAACTTTTGCTGCCACAAACCAAAGCATGTTGGCTGTAATGACAGAACTGCCTTTGATGGTGACAAACTTTGTGTAAGTCTGAACATTTTCCTTATGGCTGTATGGATACAGTTTTGACATATTTGAGGTTAGGTTTCAGGTTAAAGTAAGATATAATTTAGCATGATATAAATTATACAGTTTTATTCTGCGCTGGAACTTATATTCAGATATTTGCCAAGTTGTGTTAGTGAAAACCTAGATATTTCATTACGGATAATATGGCCTAATGATAACGAATCCAGCCTCTCGTAGATGTCTAGTCAAAGTCTGGTACCGATGAAAATAGTTACCCAATTCAATGTTACACACACTGCTGCACTGGGAACTAGTCTCCATCAGTTCGTGAAAAAAGTCATAATCGTAGCCTACATTAGTTTATGTTAATTATACTACGATATTCTAATTCAGGTTACAAACACACGAACAGACAAAAGGGAAATTTTAATATAATCAAGATACAGCAGTACCAGAGTACAGAGATAATACTGTAATAACTGAAATAACTGATACTACAATGTAAGGGTTACCATTACCGGGTTTAGTGAAGTGAACACCGTAGCCGCTTAAATAACGTCTAACAAAATTGTGATGTGAAATGAGCGTCGTAACTGCTCAAATAAAATAACACCCAACAAAAATGTGATGAGAAATTTCAATGTAAAACGATCGAAATTACACCAGTATTGTCTTAAAACGTCACCGTCAAAAATGTGGACGACTCTTCTGTCCTCCCGTTTGTCCCATGCATTTAACATATTGTGTTCACGCAAGACAGACTTTTATTTTCAGAAAAAAATGAAAATTTGGGTTGTATTTTCACATCACATTTTTGTTTGGCGTTATTCAAGCACTTACAGCGTTCATTTTCACACCACATGTGTGTTTGGGGGTATTTAAGCAGTTACGGCGTTTGCTCCACGAGACCCCCATTACCTATTCACAAGAGCAGAAAAATGGTACATGCATATAGACTCACCCAAAATAATATGTTGAAGAAAAAGAGAAAATACTTTGTACAACATCCAACCTCAGTTGTCATGCTGAATTTTGAAGAAACGCAGAGAAAACGTTACGGTATATAAGGTACAGTATAATCTGTAGCAACTCACTTCTGTATCCGTCTTACCATACAAACGTAATGACACTTACCAACTCAATACGACACTGAATCTATAAATAGTACCGTAATGTTTTATCTCCAGACGACGATAAACTACAACCTTTTCAACTTCCGTGCACTCCTGGTGGAATATTTACTCGCTATTGTCATCTAGCGGAACTGAACCACACACCTGGAAGTCTCTTGCTTTCAGGTCCGCAGGATTTCTTTTTATATTTATTTTTATTTATATTCCCCGTTAATTAATGTATATATCCTCAATGTTCTAACTAATACGAGTCGTGGGTGATAGATTCCTGAACGACTCTTGTAAATTGAATCTGAACCCACATTTTCTTTGTCGGTTAGTAAATGATTACATAGAAGACTATAGTTCAGCCATACAGTATTCTCATTGAGTCAACGCCCTAATTTGTTATTATTTTTTATTTTTTTACAAAGAGATTGCTAATCATGGTATGTTAGTCGTTGCTAATCGTCGATGAATGTGAGTACCGCCACATGTATATAATAATTCATCCAAAGGAAACTTTTCACACTCAACATTGGCTGAATTTTGTCCAAAAAATTAGGAATCAATTTTGCGTAATATGAAAACATTCATACTACTAGTGAAATATCTAAATTTATTTAGCTGTGAAAATTAATCCGGATCATGTTTGATGAATTCGTTGCCGACTAAATATTGCAAAATCACTGTAGCCTATTACGTGCCGACGAATTGAATTTCTATTATGCCCTGAAAAGGGTTCCGATGAAATGAAACAGCAAATATTGGAAAATATCAGGTCCCATAAAATTAGGGGTGTGCAACCTGCGGCCCGCGGGTCAAATGCGGCCCACAAGAAAAAATTGTGCGGCCCGCGGAAAAGTGACAATTTTGAATGATGTGCGGCCCGCGAAACTAGTTATTAATTCAGTTTAATCTGTTACGTGCGAGTAATTCCAATTCCTTTGCGTTGCAAAGTTATACCTGAGTCCAATTTATCATACATACCCATGGCGTAATAATGCCCTAACACAGGGGTGTGCAAACTGCGGCCCGCAACGAAAAACTGTGCGGCCCACGGAGAAGCGCCAATTTGAATTGTGTGCCCGCGAAACGAGTTTAGTTAATCCGGTACGTGCGAGCAATTTGGAAATACACAATGTTCTAAAAGCGTGTTTCTCACTGACTTCGTTTAAAATCGGTGTGACAAAAAATTTGAATCGCAGTTTTCTTTAGAAATTTTTGCGTTTTACCTCAACATTTCTGTGAGGATCCATAACAATGCCGTAAGATCAATAACAAAAAAAAACAATTTTTGTGCTTGCAATTAACGCTACCTACAAAACTAATTCGTTCCGGAAGCCGCTCCGTAAGTTGAAAATTCCGTAAGTAGGAATGCATTTTACTTCCCACATAACTTGGACATAATATTTGTATAAATTATAATAATTATAGTTAAAACCCGTAACAAATACTTGTTAGAATTAGATTACTGCATAATAAATGGAAAGGTACACATGGAAAGACGAGAAAACAGAGAAATACCCAATGAAAAATATGAATTTTTCGTATCCAGGGACTTTCGTAGGTAGAGTTTCTAAGCGCGGCGCGGCTACACCCAGTTATTTGTATCTGGCCCTCTTGCAATGAAGGTTGCACACCCCTGCCCTAGCAGATAGCTTGTGCGAAGCGAACATCGCATGTCATAAGATCAATAACCAAAATTTTCGTGCCTGCGGGCTGAGACTACTATGCTAAATAAAGGTGCGGCCCGCGGTTTCACCCATTTATTTGTATCTGACCCTCCTGTATTATAGGTTGCACACCCTTGTTCTAAGGATTCAAATCGATTGATCCATTAGTTGTGAAGATATACGATTTTCCTCAACAACAACAACAAAATACCGACAAAATAGGTCCATTTCGTGCCCGACAAGAGACCAAGGCTCAAATATAAGGATATTCAATTAAAAATAACAGCTGATTTTAATTCTAACTTTTTCGAATCTGTGTTTTGAATAGTACAAATGAATTTAAAAAAAATGGACTTACGGGTGGCGCGCGGAAGCGTGCGAGATTGGTATTCAACAGACTGCCCCCATCCTCACATACACCCCTTCAAAGCTTTCTAACTGAATTCATTTAGACAGCGCCTTGCTTATACAGTACTTCTAACCAGGGCTGCCACTTTTGTCTGAATAAAAACATCTAGTTTGATCTCAAAAAACATCTAGATTGGAAAACAAAACATACAATATATATATATATCAAAATATGAAATGACTAAATTTAATAAAAGTAAACAAAACAAGAGAGTACAAATAGTTCATTATATCACATCATGATAGATTTCAAAGATCATTTGAAGTTGATGTTGTTGCTACAGAGGGATTTTTATATGTTTCTACTGTGTATTTTTTTTTAACCCGAAGCAGGTTCCTTATATATATGACGTGTAACATTGTTTATTTCGAGTTGGGTTAAATTTGTTAATGACCAGTATTGGATTCGGTGAATCTGTCGTCCTTCTGTTTCTTACTTTGCTTTTTCATAGTTTATTGCACTAATTTTTTTCAACATCAGCATTTAACCCCTTCAATATATATTTATGATAACCCACGTGGAAGTTAAAACTTTGATTAAAAACAATGCAGATTGAGTTTATATGTATGTTTGATATAGATTCATGTTGTTCCCCATCATGTTTTTTTTCATTTTGGGACATATGTGTGCCAACGGCATTTATTCTTGGGATTGAATTGTCCCAGTGGGATTGAACAACATAAATCCATAATATATATAGTGCGAAATTGAAGAACAATTACTTTCTGGGAATCAAATTCGTCGAACTCGGTCAATAAAAATTTGCTCATCGTCATATGTTGTTACTGTGCACGCACTTCTGCTGTGATATGCTGAAAAACAGTCCGTGGCACAGTTTCTGGCACAAGTAATTTGTTCGTTTTTCATTTCTTTTTGCAGTTCACCCTCGTACTTCTTCTTTTCACAAGACGCTATACCTAATCCATACATTCACCATCGATTTTGAAGAAAAAAAGTGTTAAAACGCGCCTTATGGTATGCAAAATATGGTATAGGAATACAACCATAGGTGGGTTCTCTTTTGTATCAACTCACTAACAACAGTTTGCCTCATTTCAGAAAATGCATGTGGGTATCACATTGAGTAAACTACACTAACATGACACGCTTCACATAAATAAAATACATAGCTTTTGAAGGCCCGAATATATCGATAGTCGTCCCCTGCGGTGCACGTGGTCCATCTACCATAGTCGTATAACATCCAAGACAAAAAACCAGAACAGGTAAAATGTTGATTGAGCCCAAGATTACACAGAGAAGTAAGGCATGTGACCAACTTGAAAATCAGTCTGGACGGCTGTTTAAATTTCAAGTGTTATGTCACTGCTGCCTGTTGCCTGTACGACTTTGTGACGAGTTGGATACATGGAAAAACGTCATAGGCGAGTGATTAATTATCGCTGCCACAAACGCTGCCGGTTTATCATTAGGAAAGCTATACAAACAAATGTATTTGAACAAATGGACAATGTCCATTATGGCCTTTGTTCATCTATAAATCTGTTTCATTATAGTGATTTATGACCTGTACGTGTACAGTATTTTATATAAAATAATGTATTAGGCCCTCACAGGCAAGTTATATTTTTACGATAGGTATATATATAATTATATATATAAACGAAACGAACATAAAAATCATATTACAAAACAAATGGGCATGTCGTCGTACATGTGACTTTGTTTGCAATTGTTCTGTATTTGCTAATATTGTTATTTGAAATATAAAATATATTTTATAAATTCTCAAACGTTGCATTATGCCAGTCTATGAATACGTAGCGTGTGGAATATTATGAGCGGAGTTTTTGCAAAAGTCGTTGTCGTAGAATCGATCGCACAAGTGTTGGTCAGACTAAGACTTGCATGTTGTCTCATCATCCAAGTACGGTGATTAGCCTAACTAACACCCACCCACCCCTGACTTTGTAGTGTGACACCACACTTTCATTTATATGGCCTGAATGCAATTAGTAAATGTATTTGAATATATACAGAATATGGCGTAATACCAGTCAAATCCATGTCATATTTAGAACGTTAAATTCGGAATGCTGAAAAATAAACTTTACGTGCTGATACCTGTTTAATGCTGGAGCGACATTTCTAAATATAAATCATAACGGCTGAATTACTGTATTTAAAATCGTATTTTATATTTTTTTTATTTATTGACGCGTGGAACTAAAATTCAAGTCATCCCATATCCTACTGCAATGTACTATAAAATTCATCATTAATACTGTTAATTTGTGTAAATATTTGTTAAAAGATCACACTAATCGAAGATATGATTTATCGGTGAAAAATTCTCGAAACTCAAATAATTATAAAGCGATTAAAAAAAGACATTTTAAGCATCACACTTAAAAGTTTTATTTTTTTTCTCGGATCAACAACGCAATAATTGTTTTCCTTATGTTTGTCTGCTACTGTAAATCATATAACCGGTAAGTAAGCAGAACAATAATCTTTATGATTACGTTGTTTACGTTTCTCGTAAAGCGATTATTTTGTGTATTCAACCGCGCCAATTCTGTTTATATATTCTGAGTAGGCCACTCAATCTTCTGTTCCAAATTAAAGCACATGGGTTAAGCATCTATTATGTCAAGCACGCGTTTAAGTAAATCATCAGGCATTTAAGGAGTCATTTATATACACCCCAAGTTAGATTAGAAGATAATATCCAGTGCCTCGCTTATTGAAAAGTAAATTGAAACGTCCATAGCAACCTGGGATACGCCGCATAGTTACCGAGAGCGGGCGGAGATATGCGCCTCTCGCTTTTCGTTCTGTGGGGATACTGACACCTCAAGAGCTGCTCCTAACGCTTGGAACAATAGACAGACTGACTACTGTAACATGAACCAACGCTGTGATAGTGTAACTGGGACATTTAATAGGTATTTTAAAAATTGATGTGTTTGGAGTCGATATTGGAGGCTGGTAGTTTGGGAAAGTTCGGTTTCACTTTTTATCTCAAATAAGTAGATGTGTTTTTAGAATTTTTTGCTTACTTGTAAGGATAATGTAATCAATTTTATGCAAAATCAGATTTTAGAGATTTTCAGGATAATTTTTTTAGACTAATCATGATCTTAAAAAGCACCTATTCACAAACGTATCAGAATTTTTAAGATATCTTACATGGTTTTACTTGGGTTACTCCGATCTGAGATAGTAAAAGATTTCAACCGATAAATACCTTTGCTACCAATATTACCTGAGGATTCAAGTTTTCAGAAAATGGACAACACACTGATTCAATTATAATATCACATAAGGCAAACTAACAGAACGTGATCGCAACAAAATCGAAAAATCAGCTCGATACTCTTCTGTCATCAATTAGGTAGGTGATCATGAAAAGGGCTTTAGCGGAAAATGTGTATTTCAAAACCATTTACAATAATAATTTTAAGCGTTGAACTAGCACAATTAAAAATAAAAATGGAAATTCAGCCTAAAAGGTCGGAGAATGAATAGATGAACTATTTGTCAGCAATTGCTCGGAGAAAATTAGTTTTCGAAAAAAATGATTTATTGGTTTTCTATGTATCCAAAGTTCTAAGAATTTTTGTATTTACATTGATGAAATTTTAGTAACAGATTGTAGGCAGTATTTTATTTTATATATTGACACAAATAGATTCATTGTTGAAAATTACCATAGCGTGTCTCAGGGTTTACAGAATTTAATTTCAATTCATGACAGAAAACAGATAGAACAAGCATACGTACTTAGAGTATGATGAGCCTTCTTAGAGGTTAGAAAATTTAATAAATAAAGTGACATATTTTGTAATAAAATATTTTTTTGAAACTTGAATAAAAAAGTACATTGCTTCCTGCCACGTTTATACGTAACGCATATCAGATTGGTTAAAACACTTAACGAAAAGTACTGAATAAAAATGAATATCGTTGTAAATACGTGTGGGCATATTTGCATCTTCTTCCTTCTTTCATGTTAAATTTTTGGATTACTACAATTAACATAAAAATAAAGATAAAATTTGTTTGTAAGATTTTTATGTTATTATTCCATATTGGTATTAATTAATATTAGGTTCATTTTCGATGTATTCGATGCATTTTCTCAAAAATACGCCCTCATTCGTGACTAAATTTCACATCATCCCATTTCCAAACTTTTCTTTATCTTAATAAAAAAATCATAGATCGCCATTGTCCATATTCATTGCAGACACAAAGACGTGGATGTATAACAATGAGATAGATTAAGGTTGGATGCTTATTCTCGGTGATTATTATTAAATTTGTAACGAGTTTACCAGATATTTCTAGATTGAGTTTCAATAGAAAACGTGATCAATAATGATTGTCATAGAAAGTTTTTACGGCAAACACTTCATCCATTCAGAATTTTATTTTGATTTCTTCTTTAAATCAACAAGTAATTGTGTCTGGACGAAAATCTAATGCTTTGTTACACATAAAATCATTAAATCGGCAACGAAAGCTAAGCGAACAAAAGAAATTCAGCGAGTTTTCGTTTTCGTGGTTTCTTGAGTGTAGACACAAAAGTCAAGTTGACTTTAATGGTCTCAATGTATAAACGGGATGTGTGGCCGTTATTTTAGAAACATAATAAAATCTGGCTCAATACCTACCGGATACAATAAGTAATCGCAATATGCAACACAATCTTCGTACCGTGAGTTTGTATGAAATCTTGTTCGAATCTAAGGTTGAGCATAGATTTCAATATAGCAAACAGCATTTATGAAATATGTATATCCTGATGCTGATAGAGAATGTTAACGATATTATATATTTGTTTATCCGATTGAATTTCCTCCTTAGTTTCAAATTAATATACCATAATATGGGGTTCTTTCAAATCGCATTCTTTCAAATCGCGTGAGCACGAATGTACCTATATTTACACTTTGAGCCGGACGACATCTCTTATTTAAATTTAATTACACAGATGGCAAAATATTAAACAACCTCATAAAAGTCCAAGATTAGAGACGTTTCAAATTTACAAACTGAAAAATAGGCATTTTGTATTTTGCTTTCTATATATAAAACTACTCGGAAATAGTATCAAACATCGCTTATCGAGTTCCTGACATTTGTGCCATAAAGAATCCAAATGTCTCTCCGAGTATAGCTTTTAAAAATCTCGTTAATTTGAATTTATTTATTACTTGAACTATATTACCAAATAATATTCCATTTAAAATCTTATGTAGACTTGAAAGTTATCCGCCTAAGATATAACGTGCTCAATTGTGTTTATTTTTGTGGAAGAAATAAAATAGTCACAGTCTCCGTTATTTGAGCATTACTCTCAGAAGTGTTGAATCAATATTAGAATAAGTTGAACGTGTTTACCCTGATTATCATCTAATATGATACTTCATCGTGGTTCAAGTGTCATTCGTGACAGTTAAAGGTGTGTTTTAGTTGTACTTGATTGCAATGAACGTTGCGGCACTAGAATAGAGTCGAAGTTTATAGTTTATAACGCAAAGAACCTGCATTGTTTTGGACGCACGCAGACATGTAGACCAACCAGTTATAAAGGTCATTGCTGCTCTAAATATGTTTTCAGGTCGAATTTTTTGTATCAAGCTAATGAGCAAGCCAATTTTACTTGGATGGGCTATTTTGACGAGTGTTATTGGTTGCTTATACCCACTGCATTTAGAGCCTTTTGGTGTTTGCCAGCAATGAAGGTGTTCATATACCTGCGGAATAGCTCGTATTCGCAAAATCTCATAATGGCAAATTACTTGCTGCCTTGGCTTCGTTAGTTGAATGTACTTTTATTCAATCGCTTAATTACTTACCTCATTTGCGGCGAGTGAAGAGGTTTCGTCTGTCAAGTCAAGTATCGTGAATTTAAATAGTGACAATTGTCCAAGAATGCCAATAACATAGACTTAACCTAACGTTTGGACCACTTGGTTGTTTATTATACTCAGTTAAATTACACCGCAGGTAAATTATCTTCAAGCAATGACATAAACATGATAATCTCTCTCCTTCTACAGGTTAGTTAGTTGTACTGGTGTTCACATCTAATCAATTTTATTTTGCCGCGTCAGCACTGCCTAATCATGACTATGGAAATTGAGAGGCCACTTGAAAAAAACAGGTAAATATTAATTTTTGTTGCCGTACAATTCTAACTAAGATAATATAATCACAATTATTCATAAATTAATTGGAGCATTAAATTGCTTCACTGGTCACTTTATGATATTTAAATGATTGAAAAACTGGCCTGAAAGCAGATTATCTGATTTATTGCTTTGTGTACAGCTATATATCATACTATAGAGCAAACTAAAAACACGGGATTGTTAATAAACATGGCTCACATAATATGAAATTAAAAAAAAAACGAGAAAATCGAATCGGGAATTGAAATCGGAGGCATATTTAAACACGTGTTTTGGGTCGAAAATTACGTAAATCTGGAATCACGTGATTTGAAACCTGAGTCATTTTTTTGTGAGTTGGGGTCTGCAACTCTGTAGTCTTTGTTGTAATAAATTTTTGAATTCGATTTATGTAAAGAGTGGGGTGACTCAATCAACATCAGCTCATTTTATAAGAAATTCCTTTGCTGGGTAATCCATTTCGGCTTTTATTATAGCGATAGGTAATATTAAACACAGTTTCATTGACGATTCAATATTGTTTGACTTTTTGTTCCGGAAAAGAGCAATAACAATACATCTGTGATTGTAAAATACACATCAGCAGATGCCGGATCGAACATAATAGAAATCGTTTTGATTTTTCATTGTTTACTGGCGTGTAGGTAACAGAATTTCTTTTGTTGTTAACACCGTGTAGCTTCATGTATGACCAACACTAACGTTATTGTTGTGATATGGCCTTTGTTGAGGGTCGCCCGCTTTCCAAGTATATACCACTTCTGAGATGTTGACGAGCCACACATGAGAAATTCATAGCGTAAGGCGCAGAAATTAAAAGGGTAATCATTTTCTCGGATAAATCCAAGTAGTATTTGACAACATATTTTCATGAAAATAGGTCCCATTACATTTGAACCCACGACAATTGCACCTGCTTACTATTGCACCTATGGAAAATTTCTCTGTTTTACGAATATTTGAACCCATACTAACCCTGACCCATGGATTTTAGCACCCGCATATATATATATATATATATAGATTGAACCCGCAGATATACACATGGGTTCAAATGTACGTGGGTTCAAATGTACGATCACCATGAAAATAACCATAGTGCTTCATATCATAGCGGTAATGTCATCCATATGAACAATTTTCCAATTATTTTCCTGGTTATTCGTTTATTGTAACTTTGCAGGTCATGTTGATATCGTTCACAGGCCACCTATACCATAAACGTTCGTTTGTTATAACCACAGTAGATATTCTGTTGAACATTAATGCATTGAACCAGTATAAAGACTTAGTAAACATTGTTATCCAAATAAATGCTTATTGTATGCTAAGTGAGCAAAAATACGCTATAGAGACTTAGTTTAAAACTTTAAACGTATTCGTAGAATATAGATAGATCAGTGCTCTTCAACCGGGTATACGGTATACCCAAGTGCATACCGGACCCTAATTTGGGTATATAACTGATGAAGGGTATACGAAGGGTGTACAACCTAAGTCAGAGATTCTAAGTTTTTGATAAAATAAATTATAAAATATCCAAGTGATAGCCTACAAACACATGAAAGATAAAATGTCAGTTACGCAAAGAACCGACGTGAGCACATTGTTACTCAGGGGGTAGGCCTGCCATAAGAAATACGCCAAAACGTTTTCCATTATCATATATGCCAGTTTAATATTTTAAAATATAGTGTGGTTGCCTGATATCTAGTTCTTATCAAGCACCTTAGTACTGTCAGCATCTTTGTGCCTGCGACCTCATTTTCGTGACTGATTTGTAAACATTTCTAACGCCAAAGTTTTCCTGCATGGATGAAAAAAAAACATTCCAAATTTCTGCAATTTCATTGTGATCAAGTGGCGATTTGAATTTGATCATGTGCAACAGACAAAGTTGAACATATACCGAGTATACCTAATAGGAGTAATTAATTTGTTTATACAGCTTTGGCGTCTTCAAACCAACCAGCGACCCGCTTGTTGTTCGGGGTACTATCGGCAATGTATTTGACGAATCACAGGGAATGATAAAATCGACAAGGGCAAGTTCAAAGATGAAGATTCGACGAGCGCCGAAACCTCTTTTAAGCGATGTACCACCACCTGCTACCTTACCACTAGAATCTCATCTTAACTTACCAAGTCCCAGAGCATTGCAAGAAGCAAGTGAGTATGGTGGCGAATTAGTCTGTAGGTTTTCGATTGACTGACAATGCATCGTCAAAAAAGTATATATATATACATTAGGTACTAATATGGGACAAAAACAAGATTGAAAATTCAAACCAGAATGTTTCTTGGAAATATGGAATTAATATACTCTTAGAATGGGGTTTTTTAGAGAGCAAGAGTTCTTGTTATAAATGCTGGTGTATAGCACAAAACTATAACAGTTATTCTGTATCCAGGCCCGCGTAGATCACGTCCTGAGTCGAAAAGTAGTTCAAGATTTGGTGCTTACAGCCAAGCTTCATTTTTCTCCAGACACAATCCACATCCTTTTAGGGTACGACATATTTCCGGTGAGTATGAAACTTTGTGATAAATTCATATCATGAGGTTTAAAATACTTGAAAAGCTTCATTTTTGTTTGTATTTTTCCAAACAATTTTTCCAAAGGTGTAAAAAATATTTTTAAAGGTTATGGCATTAAATGTTATTTTAACGAAAAGTAGAAAAAAATAGGCACTGTAAACTTAAATCGGATAACGTATCGAAGTGAAGTCGTCAAAGATACACACTTAGATCTTTTTCGTTCTGCTTTTTGTGTGTTTATCATAATAAACTGTATAAGTTTATCTAATATACTTGTCTGTAGCCTTCATATGTTGCATATTTTAATTCTATTTTTCAGGACTAAACGGCCAGCCGATATGCGCAGTACACGACCATGATATTTTCCCACCTCAACGTTTCAGCATCAGAACTCCTTCCACTAGGTAACTTTGTCAAATAAAAACTTGTCAATATGATTTTATTGCTGATTAATATTTTACCAATATTCAATATTGATCAATCAATGTTAGAGCTCTGGAATATAAATGAATAAATTTTGTGAAACTTGAAGTTGCATAATGGTTGGACAACCTTATCACCTTTACATTGTAATAACTGTTCAATCAAATTTACAACTCTAGGACAGATTTATTGGCCGTGCTGGTAAATAGTTCATAATAGTGTTGTCGGGAAAATTACTTCTTTAATCACATTTAAAATCCTAGTAATTAAAGAAAAAGCGTCTCTCAGCGAATCATTTTCCATATTTCTCTGAGCTCCTCCTCCAGTGTTTCCCGTAATGTTGCTGATTTAAAAAAAAAAATGCGCCACCATGTAGATTTGTAGAGGATACGATTTCCTTGTAGTCCACTCCTATTAATTCTAAATTTATTTTTTTTAGGGAAAGAGAGAATATCTTCAATGCACATATTCCTCCAAATGCATTAGGATTAAGTAGCACGACATTCCCAATCAATATAATCACTGGCCTTCAACATTATCCATATCGCGAGAAAGCTGTTCCAAGAATAGGATTAAGTAAGTGCTTTTTTGTTCCAATACCAAGCAATCCAATACCAATACCAGCAATCAAGACGGCAAAATGATTTTCACAAACATGGCGATCATGATTAATTCACCATCAACGGAAATTTGAGCTATAGCATTGTCTTATTTCTTCACATGTATTTGTTTAAAACATATTATGCTCCGACGGACTGTCTTACAGTCATTATTTACAGCTAAATAAATTCATGATAAAATATATACCTTATCCATGTTATAATCATCTTCTTTTAGTTCCAGTGACAGATTCATGGAGAGAAGAGCTTCGAGAACTTTGTCAAAAAGCTGGGTTGGTTCCAGAAATACAGGAAGAACTTCCTCGTCCTGTCAGTCAAGCTAGTATTCTGCCACAGACGAAACGAAGAACCATTTATTCGGGTATGTAGAATGACAGACATAGATTCCAGCCACAGTTCGCTTTTATATAGTATCGAATCACTCTGATTTTCTCTATGACAAAGCGTAAAAATGAGCAAACATCTGAGAATGTATGTTTCTTGACAAAAAGAAGCGCAGATTTCGCAAATATCTATTTTTTCGTTTTAGCTGAAACTGGAAGATTGGTACCGCCACCGTCACGTGCTATGTCCAGACAAGCTTCAAGACAAGGTGGAAGACCGTATGGTTCTTACCAGGTAAGTTCTTTGAACCAATTAGTACAGGTGCTTTAATATCATCAGTTCTCGTCGTAGTGTTCGATATCTGGGAAGAATTTATAGACCAACGTTTTTTCATAATATTTGAAATAGAAATTATTTGTATTTCACTTTTGTTATTTTTCTATTGAAGCGTTGTACTTGAGCTGCCCTACGTTATATGAGCTTAAAATAAATGAGTTAGGAGACACTGCCACAATCCGTCACTTTCTTACTGTATAAACATTAAACTAGATTTCATAATATATATGTATGCTGCGATAATCGAGATTGGTCCAATCTAATTTTTATTCGGTTTCAAGCATTTATGTTGTTGCTTCCAAAGCTAGTTTCAGCCCCATACTTGATTATATTCTATCCACTCCATGTAAACAAACATCGACTTCGTATCAATGTGTATCATTAATTAACGCTTATTGAGCTATCGAAGCCAAAATGTTGTATAACCATTGGAAGCGTATTATTTTCAGCACATTTCTGCATATCCTGACACTGAGACGTTGATGCTTGAAATGCTTTGTCAGATATTACAAACAGACTCCGTGCACGCTGTTCAACAATGGCTTGTTTCAGCCGGTGACAGGGGTAAGTCATACGTAGATGCCACATCGTTACATTTATTCAACTTCAAGCATTTGTCTTTATCTCCAGTTGTTGTATGTATTATTTAGTTGGACTTCTGATTGGTTAAATATTTTTCATCTCACTTGAACTGATGATCAAACGAAACGGAATTAATTTGAATTAGAAACAAAAAACATTATTCTAGTCCTATTATATACAATGAATCAAAGATATTCTCGGGGATGACAACGAAACATCAAAAATAAAATAAACTATATTATCAACAAATTTCAATCTATACAGAAAAGGGTCTTGTACTCGATATGATAAGAAGCGCCATGAGTTCAGAAGAAGAAACATTGCGTAGGCAAGAAGCCGAAAGACAAGAAGCGTTAGCTGCTGCGGCAAGAGCAGCAAGACCACCAACAGTACAAGCACAAAGTAGACCACACACCTCTATGAGTGTTACCAGTAGGCCAGACACAATGGAATCGATGAAACCAACGAAAGTGCAGCAAGGTAATTGTTTGTTTGGCGAACATTTTGACCAAACTTTCTATGTCAAGATAGAATATATATATAATTGAAATTTTCATGCACTTTGTGTACTGCAAAATATTTGAATTACCGATTCGGTATTTCGACTAACTAATCAGTCTGTTTATGTTCACAGATGGGGCTGAGATTCTAACCCTTGATAAGCCTGCAACACCTATGTCACCAAGAAAACCAACTTCAGCAAGACCACTCGGAACACCTTCACGACCTGCATCGAGGAAAGGTTTGTTAACTACAAAATTCTATTGAAATTATTCGCATTTGGCGTTTTTTTATTAGTATTGCAGTCGCATTCTAAATTATAGACCTCCGCTGTCGAGAGTCGAAGTAAAGAATTTCAAAATTATCAGTGACTTGCATGAAGCCTCAATTGCCACAGTCAAATTTCTGGTTAGTCCAGAGTCGAGTCGGGAGCTTTAATCGGATTTATTTGTACCCACAGTCAGAGTTGAATTTTGTATGGACCTGGAGCGGGACTGATTATGGATATAACTCTTTCAGTATTATATCACTCAAAGAATTGTATATTTATCTATAAAACTTTATTAAAAATCGGCTTTTTTTTCTTTTCAATTTGGAAATGGATTTTATTTTATTAAAGTGGACATATGAATATGTGACTCTAACACTCTATCACGCCAAATTTTCAATTGCGTATTTTTATGACGTGTTATTTTTATGAAGTGTCAATTCCATTTATGATACATCTATTTATGTGTTTGGGGTTTTTGTACTTCCAGCGTTGAATGATATCAAAAATGCAAGTCCAATAATGCGATATACAAAGACTCCAGGTAGCGTTGCATCAAGAGGTCGATTATCTCTACCTGCAATTGTAGAAGAAACAGCAGAAGTAACACAACAAGACGCCAATGAACAACCAGCAGTCGCTTCATGAAAAGCACATATATATAAAGTGCCATTTTTTATTTTTATTTCGCCAGTAAATGAGATTTTTTATTAAAGTTCTTTTTTGTAAAAAATCTCTGATTCAACTGTTTTGTTATTATTTAGACGTACGGTTGGGAGTAATTGTTGTACGGTACCAAAAAATTTAAACTACTTGCTTTTGTATTAAATTATCGGTAATTTTGAGATTCAGATATTTTTTGTGAATTATGTTATTTTAAGGCCAACCAATGGCCTTTTTGGTTGTAAATTTAATGTTGATACTGCTAACGGACCACACTGGATTATTAGCGTACGTTCACCAATAGCGTGCTTTTAGTCAACGCAAAAAGTTGGAGATAAAGATTCTGGATATGAAAACCATCATATCATCTATCTATCTTACAATTCAATTTCTGAGTCCATTATAAAAACTTTTATATAAAAAGCGAAGAAAAAAAACTGTAAAATTTAATATTTATTTGTCCCTTCATTGTCCAACGCTTGTTACAATTTTAGTATAAAATGCTCATAATTTTCCCAAAATCGGAGCCAAATTAGTACGGGACAATATAGAATATTTAATCCGATACAAATTCAATATGTTAAATATACTAATGTTGAAAGATGAAATTATCAACAAAATTTATTGTACAATATTAGATGAGATTCCAAATTCATATCGCTTTCTCGAAAAATTTTGTACTTTTTTTAAGATTAAAAATATAAAGCTCGCGTGTAAATTTGGGTAAAACAAAGCTTCATGCAATGACTGAAAGATTTTACCTACACTGGTAGAAAAATAGTAACAACTGTAAATAGTATTTATGTTGCTTGTCTAACGAATGCATATAGTATACTATTTAGTTCATCTCTATTTATCCACCCGAACGCGAAGTACGATATATTTTATAGTTCAATTTTTTCCAATGGATTTCTTGTCTTTTTTTTAGAATAAAATGCGATAGAGGTCTTAGTGAACTTTTAACAATATGTGTTATTGTAAATATGAAATATAATATATTCTCTCTGATTATTTGTTAAAAGCTGTTTTTGTATACATTTTGCATTGCTTTTATTAAATTGGTTTGTATCGTACTTGTATCTTGAATGTAAATATGCTGTTGAAACTAGGTTTCTATTCTAAGTCAGGAATTCTGAAACTGGGGTCCGCGGACTACCCACGGATTCGTAAAGATTCAGTAGAAATTGTAAGAATACAATTGCCGAAATGTCCGGTACAAGATGAGCATAAACTGGAAAAGACTTTCTGGATAATATAGTTAATATTTTTGCTTGTGATTTAATTCATCCATACGCCTTCATTTGGGATCTAACATAACAGTTCAAGCAATTCCCAATTCATTTCCTAACGTCACAAATGATGATTGACATATTGCCGATTGGCTAATGTAACACAAATAAACAAGGAAGTGAATCTCGGAAAACCTTACAGTACCGAGTATTTAATTGGCGCAGAGTACTGGGTCATCCGCCTCGCGAACGACAACAAATTTTTTTTTTCATTCTCCACATTAAGGTTGCGTTTTTTTTCCTTTTTTTTCCCTTTTTTAGACAGGCCACGAAGAGGTCCGCCCAGACCAATAACATATTTTGGGGGTCCGTGATAGAAAAAGTTTAAGAACAATAAGGAAAGAATAATTTGCGAATCCTTTTCAAGATATTATTGGTTCTATATCAAATTTAACGTCCATCCGATTTACCATATTTTTCAAACAAAATGAGCTGTTATTAATTCATTATTAAACTCATAGGATAATTATTTAACGCTGATAATATAGAAAAGTCTTCAGGTTATGAAAAAAGCGCGGTGATCTAAGCGATTTAATGTGGACCAAAGTATGCATTAGGTCACATAAACTTGACACCAAAATATCATTATCCATACTCCTGAATTCTTTTGTATTTATAGGAACAAGTTATAACGTATGTTATACTATTGTATGTTTCTGTAACACACTGAGAGTAGGGGAAGGTGTGCCACGGTGGGCATGGGGCACAGTGAAAAATCAGCTTCCACACTCGTACTATATCCGGTCTGCGGGTTTGATGTTTGAATCCGCCCTTAGGTGAGTTACAACGTCTCCGCAAACGGACAATGGCTGTGTAGACTAGAGCGACGCAAGTTATGAGGTGAAATTGGTTTTGGGGGGTTCAAACTAAAATTTCACCGTTCCGTTTTTTTCTTTTTTCTACTTCAGCCTTTCCAACATGACAAACAACCGTCTGATATTTTTCAGCTTAAGTGCACTGTAAAATATTCATAACATTGGCAAGTCGATGAGCCTTCTTAATCTCACCGTGGGACAGTCTGAAAATATTTGGGGGACAGTGGGACATGCTCCACTGGGCACAATTCGGCAGTGTTTGATCTATTAAGTCCTTAGAGGTCTAGAGATGAGTTATGTTTTGTGTAATATTATGGTATCTTTCGACCCATGGCCCAATATGGAATATATATATTCGAGAATCAAAAATATTTTCAGATTCAGATTCGAAAATTGAAATAATTTAATTTGTTTACGGAACTTTTTGGAAAAATATCCGACATATTTTGGTTGAACATTAATTCAACAATATTAAATCTCTAAATTTGGAATTTCCCCGTTCTTTGGATGATGATGCTTATTTTTAGCTTGTTTTCAAGGGCACACTTCGTTGAATTTAACAGAGCGCCCCATTGTGTCACAGGGTCTGTCCGAATCTGCCCCACAAGTGGGGCACAATGGGACACTTGACAAACGTTTTTCAAAGCATTTTGGTTGTAAAATGAGTGCTGCAAGAAACTTTCCTAGTCGCTAAATATAAACTACATTTACGCCTCTCTGCATTAGTCCCGAAAAGTAAAATGAATATGCAAAAGAAAAAGGAGTCCCAACCTCCCCCTACTTTCTGATTTTATCAAAATATATATCCGATGCTAGTAATAGATCATTTGTTTTGACGATTGATTAGAGTAAGGGAAAAATACGAGGTGCGAATATCTTGCATACCAAAACTATAAACGTTGTTATTCGCTCCAAGTCTCGTGATCCTCCGAATGCATAAACGGCCGTATCTGATTTTCTAAACTTGGAGCTGCCAAGCTCTGGTAGCATCTCATTTAATACATAATTAATTCTCAATCTATCACTGCCAAAAAAATGTTGAATAAAGGATATATAAAATTAACGCCAATTGAAGTGACAGTGCTTGGGACTTTACCGAGATAGGCTTCTTTCTTCACACAGCTCTTTCGCCCTCAAATTCGCCATATGATATCAATTTTCACAATAATATTATTCATGATTATATTCACTATGGGGAAATGAAACGTTAAAAAATACGTGAATGTGATAGTACATGTGAATACAAAATTGAATCACAGTTAACGATATTATCTAAACTATGAACAAAGTCAAATTACAAATAATTAGATAAATTAGAGGAGTGATAATATTTTTGACATATTTGTTAAAAATCATGACAAACTTCTAAAATATTACTTCCATTTTACGTCGTTGATTCTATGTCAAAGGTGCTATGTTTGTATAGGTGTATTATGGCAGGTATAAAAACAAGATTGCATCTGTTGTAATTTTTCTTACACATATTTCCCCCATATATAATCAAGTTTTATGGTAGGAAACATTTTTCATCTGTTTTGTGTATATTTTCACATCATGTGTTGACGTCATTTCCTGCATTACTACCACCCAAGCATGACAGTTCACCTTTCCAAACTCGATAAGCATAGAGAGTATGACATCCATAAACAATGAGAAGGAACCAAGCAAACACAGTTGATGCCACCCAAACTGAAATCCCTCCAACGAAAGCGGATTCTACGATTGCTCCAATGAAATATAAGAGAGTGCAAAATACATTGAATGCGAATTCAATGACATCCCATGGTGCTCCAGATAAAACAGTGGAATGAAGAGAAAACATGTAAATAACAGTGAGGACTCTGAAAATGAACGTATGTGAATATAAATTCTAACAGTGGGCGCGTTGTGTTGCACCACAGCACTCCTGCACGGACGATTCAAGCTATAAACTAGTTGGGGAGGTCGTCAGAAAGATGTTTGTTGGACACACTAATTACATTCTCGGCCCTATTGTCTGTTTTTTTTTTTATCTTCAACATAAAAAATTATGATTTTATTCCAATTAAATTACAATTCACAAAGTAAATCAAAATGATGATAAAATCATGGATAACGGATTGTACGCAATGTTATTTACGTTATATTATATGAGTCCAAGTGTTTCATTCAGGTACATTTTATGGAGGATAAAAGACAATGGATGTAAAGTGTAACAGAGTTTCAAGTTTCAGATGAATTCAATACGAAACTAGATTTGTATGATAAAATATTTATGTTAAATGGAATTATGCTTAATTAAAAGCGGAAAATGGCAATGCAATTGAATGACGTTGATCGCCTGATGAGAAATGTATTTTATGTAAATTTTTAATTTTCCTATACAAACTCAAGTCTGAACCAGACCCAAAACCAATTCCGGTTTACCACTCTAATCTGTGGGATAAGCCGTTTCAAAAATCAACAAAACAAAAAACAAAAACTTACATTGTTAAAATCCACACAAAAACAGCAACAAACATAACAAATTCGAGTCCAGGATGAACTCTGTAGGCGCCCTCGGGTGCAAGAAGCGCGAACACCAGAAGGCCGAGTATTATTTCTGCTATTTTAAACCATCCAGCTGGACTTGCAAAAAACGTTACATTGAAAGTAGGCCTAGGCGTTGTTGCAGCCGCAGCCGCCGCTCCCACATCCATTTAGATGAATGTGAATATATTTACTGCAAGGCAAGAAAACTTTAAATAGAAATGAAAAATGTTATTAGAACTGAAAAATGCGAATATTCTGACCTATAAAAATCAGTTTTAAGGCCATATAGAACATCACTTAATTTCTGGTAACTATGTCAAACTAGAAAAGGCTACCCATGATGCCAAACTGTTAGTTGGGTATATTAAACAACACTGAAAATAACACTTCACCGGAACATATATTTTCTTTTATTCATCCGTTTGACATTCGATCCGTTTGACTAGAGGCCGAGTGGACCGTTTAGAAAACACTATTCCGTTTTGTTAGTGATAATGAACTTGTAAATACAATCTAAAAATGACAGTATCAGCACTGTGCTAAATCTCAGTAGCCTACTGAATTCTATTCTTCCCGTGACCTGTATACGCAAGTTACGGCACCTCCAGCCATCGCAATTATGTCAACTTTCATTCATGAAGTAAGTATTGGTACTGTTCCTTAGCACTGTATTGAGATCATCATTAAATCAAACGTAGATGATTAAGTTATTCTCTGATCCACATATGAAAAATCATTATTAGAAATCAACCTAGCCCAGCTACATACGACTCTGGTAATTATTAACCAGCCGGTACTACTCAGCTAATGTAAACACGGTTTATTTATGGCTATCGTTAAAATATGTAGTTGGTTCAATGGGAGGGATAGGTTTGGGACGGAAAAGTGTCATGTTCTTCGATATTTCTAAACATTGATTGGTATGAGAACGGACGTAAATGGAAGCATTCCATTATCACCAACTTGGTGCTGCAAGAACTGAGATAAGCTATAGTATCACATGAACAAAAACAGCACTCGTAAATGAACTAAGTCTGACAAAAATATTTCGCTGGAATTAGAGAGAATTATTTAATAAACGTGTAAACGGAAACGACCATAGCACCATTTCAGTCAAATGAAATAGCTTAATCCTTGCAACTTTGTCGTTTATCGCATGATTTTAGATTGCCGTACTATTTGTTCTCTAAATTAAAGTTTGTTCGGTAAACCATTACCCTTATGTTTGCTATGCTAGGTCAAATATTGTAAATTCGTTCATTCTAACCTTGAAGCTTCTGGTTGAGTTGAACCACCCTTTAACAACACAATGCTCAGTCATTCGTACCCACCAAACAACGTACACCACGACGGGGGATTGAGTATTTTGACTTTCCATACCTTTGTTATACAATGGCTTTTATTTATATATATAAATGAATGGTGGTAGAATGTGTTATAATCACAGATGAAAAGTGTTTTTATTCACTCCGTATCTGTGGACCATACTGGACGATAACATCAACCGCTAGGGTGAGCGATATTTTACGAAACATGAAACGGAATCCATTTGTTTCACATCACGAGATCGGCCATTGATGAAAGGAAGGGACATACGTAATTAAATCATGTGACCTTGTTTACATTTGGCGCATGCGTATTCGCACTAGATTGGCAGTACATGTTTGATATTTGTTCAATGTATATTGTATAAATACACTCATTATGACCCACCAAAGAGTTTAAAATAAGACTAGGACTGCTCTCATCCTTGTACCTTGTCGGCTACGTATTTACATTTAAAGAATTTAGTTCCGTGGACGATTTAACTTACTCGATGCACTAAACTGTTTTTGTTTTTTCAATAAATATGGATAAGACTAGTTTTTTCTTTTATCACATAATTTTCACACATCAAGTGACAGAAAATGCTGAATTGGCATAGACATGAATGTTTATGTTTGCTAATGTATTTAAGCAAAAATGTCCATGCGCCGACTTTTGATGTCAGTGGATATATCTTATGAAGACCTCGTCCCACTTGGGTCCAATTGCATCTAACGAACTCTATATCACGAATTGAAATACTATTTTATGTACTTTTCTGTTTAGTCTGCCTATCGGACATCTTATGTTTGAAATACCGCTATTATAGATTATCGATATTGAGCCCCATTGTGGTTGTTTATTTCCATATTTGTTTTCCCACTCGCTTCACGTGTTTATCTCCAAGAATGATTTCTATGTTCACATTTTGAGTTGATGACAAATTCATGGAACAGAGCACGTACAACTTATTACCGCAACATGACCTACTATCAATATTATGCAAAGAACTATACCACTGAAAGTTTTCTTAAGTGATCAATTGTTTGATTATTATTAATTTGATAAAATAGAGCCTTTTCGTATATGCCGTGTTTCTCAATAAAATAGTTTGTATATTACAAAATAATCATCAGATCGATTTTCATTCAGTTTGTTACTGAAATTCGTTTCGTGAGGTAAATTTTTTTATTACGAAATTTGCTCGAAGCAAGATCACGCAACTCACTTAGAAATGTAGGATATTGAACAATGAGCCAAGTTACGTCCACCCACTAAAGTGCCAAGAGATATTGAGGCCATAAATCATTATAATGTATGTTTGCGCATTGGCAAATACTAATTGACGAGAGACTTAAAGCTGTTTATGTCTATAGAATTAGAAGAACAGCTATGAGGGAGTGAATTCTACACAACTAACGTTCTGGGGGAAAATGTTGGCCATAAAATTGTTTTCTTTTGATACATAGTATATACTATATACTAACGTTTCTAATATATACTGACTTATTTATCTATCTAGAAATCCTTCTACAATTAGAAGTTTATAAGAAAATGCTACGATTAATAGTATAAAATACTTTTTCAAATATCCCAACTTCAATTTAGCCTTTGTAGGTCAAAAGGCCTGTACCAACAACATCGGTATGCTACTCGTGAGGTGAAGTCTCATATATATATAAGGGCTGGGATGAATCCGCTGATATATAAATAAACATATGATTTCTTTTATTACGTTAGAATAGTTAGATAGATAGACATCAGCGTCTCGCTTATACACACATTATGACAAAATAATGCATTTATAGGAGAATTCTTTTTCTTCAAATGTTTTAGCTACTATATCACTACGCTTTAGGTTAGGGCAGCGGTACACATCTGTTTTAGGCATCCCTTGATTAAAAGATTGGAAACGGATTATAGAATAAACATGAATGAATATTTCGAAATAAAGAGACCATCATCGGATGAATTAATCGATCTGCACGTTTCAATCGTACCTCCAGAGCATTGGATACAGAGACTGAACTATGCGAGTCAAACAGTTATTGCAGAAACTTTTTCTGTTGGCTTTATAAGAGTACATCCGGATAATACTATTTTATCTTTAAGAAAAGACATTTCGGAACAAATCGGAGATCAACTCTTTCCATCTAATTATGTATTTTTAAAACACGTTGGTCGTTGTTTAGCACTGGTACGAGAGAAACAAGAAGATAATTTGAAAGCTAAAAATTTCATCAGCCCTGGGAACATCTTGCCAGAACTTTTCATCCTGCCATCTCAACCTAGTACGTATAATCATTTAACACTTCCATCGACGCAATTTCCATCTCTGGAACAACATTCAGATTTCAAAAGAGAAATTTCAAGTTCTATATCGAATAGAAAAGAATATAGAAAGGAAACGGGCGACTCTAATAACGAAAATGAAAAATGTCCCATAATTCAACCACAGCCTTCAAAACTGAATGAAAAGCAACAAGTGGATAAAATAGACAGAAAAAAGACAAAACAACAAAGAATTTCAAAAGGCAATCAAAACAAAAATTTCGATATCTTAGTTCATCATAACAACGCTGAATACAAATCTTCAAAATCTCGGAAAAATTATGGTCACGATAAAGTACAAGGCATACCTGCAGCTACACAAAGTAAAGTAGATTTTATGAACACACGTGGAAAAAGATTACAGAAGGCCGAACTTTCTATGGAACCAGAAGTACGTAAACCTCGCCGAATAGATTCCATTATTTCTTCCCAGACGAGTTTAGAGAATCTAGGACACAAAGATAACAACCGCTCTGAAGCAAGGAATACTCCAACGATTCCAAGAGTGAAAAAGTCCTCTTCTCGGACAAATTTTGCTCAAAAATCCAGAAGTAGAGATTTGGAACCAATTTCTATTCTTGATTCTGTATTTCACAAAGAAAGTATGAATGATGTTCAGGATAATAATAATATTACAGAGACAGTGAGTTTTCATAAACAAATCGATTCGTTGAAAGGCGCGGATTCGGAATTGAAGACAAATCGGCGAAATAGTGTTGAAGAAGCACCGATTACGATTCCGAGTTTTGCAGAATCCTCGACTAGAATGGAAAAAGTTTCAAAACTTCCACTTACGAAGAAAGAGGGGAAAACAACAAAAAAGAAGAACACTGAGTCTTCAAGTCAGCAAAAAATGTGGCAAGACTTGCAAAAGGCAAGAGAAAATCGATTATCATCACAGAAAAAAATTCAAAACTTATCCAGAAAAGTGAGCAAGCCTAGTGATCAGCAACAAAATATGAAGAAGAGGGTAGAAACTCCGATTAAAAAGAAAAAACCAAACGCGATCTTTCAACCAGATGTCAACAATCCGGGTGTGAAATGTCCAGCTTGTTATTATGTTTTTAACACTCAAACAGACAGAAAAAGGCATCTAGCACTTATACACAATATAAGGATATCGAAAGTTGCACCGGACGATCAGAATTCAAAATCTTGGAGAGCAAAGGTAATTTTAAAAGTTAGTCAGGAAAGACTCAGTAATGCAGGCATTCCAAGTCAGATAACAGAAAAACATAAAGGCGATGGACAAGTAGGAGAATCGATGGTTAAACCAATAAATTTTTACGCTTCTGATCGAAGAAGAAGAACTCGAAGCAGAGTTGGTTCGACTGCATTGCCAAAGTAGCCACCTCTGTTGGTTTTTTCATATGTCGCCTGTAGAAATAATTAAAGATTCAAACATAATAGATGATTCATCAGTATTTGGCTCTAGATCAGACATGGGCAAAGTACGGCCGGCGGGCCCGTTGGGTAATTCAATCTAGCCCGCCTGATGCAGCCACAACCAAACCGAAATCGAATTTTGATGTTCTAGCTAAAAATAGCTCAAGGAATTTGTCGAGATTGCGGTTAAATTTAGTTTTGGCACGAAGCATATAGTCTTCTACCTTTTCTTTGTAACACTGTAAATACTGTTCTTAAATTGTTACACGTTACGGCACACTTACATGGCAAAATTTCTGGCCCCCTGGTTTATAAACCTTGCCCAACACTGCGTGCTCTAGATCAATACACAGATTTATGCAGATAGCCTACATAATGAGCGAAATATATTTTGGCGTGCGCGCGCGTAATATGAAAGTATATTGTGCTTTCAACAATTTGAGTCTTCGCGACTGACAATTTAAAACTAACTTTTAATGCTTATTGTATTCTCCCCTTAGACTTCAAAAAATCAAGTAGGGAAGGAAATATTCGAGGGTTACTTGAAATAGCTTTTGAAATTAAAAATCAAGTCGTAATCCGGTTTTGATGGAAAAGTGAAAAAGTCTCATAAAAATACAAAAAATCGCCGATATAATGACCTTCTGTGTTGTGTAGTCGATGTTCCGTCTGGAATCAAAATAAAATTGCATCTTTAATCCAGGTTACCAAATCTTGAAGTTGTCTCCAATGATGGTAAATCAGGTATATATCGTTATTAACAAATCCACGACTTGGACGAGAAACAATGAAACGGTTTACAGTGTGGTAACTTAATACAACAACAATGACAAGCCAACCTTGGTTTAATTCCGAGGTTTAGTAATAGTTTGAATTTTTTCCGTACCACTTTGGGTAGATTACGGGCATTAAAATTAGCTGTAAATCGAATTAAGATACCCCCTATTGGTCGTTGCTTCAAAAAAATGTAAATTATCAAATTCTGAAAAGAATTCTTCGAAATCTCAGAATTCTTATACGTATTAAAAAACTTGCACTTTGTTTCGGCATTTTGATGATTCAACGGCAGTACAGTTGGGTGTTAAATGAACGTATGGTTCATACTTCATATCATAACTATAACATAACAATCTCTCTCTATCTGAACTAGTGAGGTGAGTTGCAAATCAGCTGCCTTTGTTAAAATAAAATTTCCTTGAAAATCAAATAAATAAAAAATTTATGATTGCAATACTACATGGCCGGGACTGTTAGATCTATCGGACGGGACAACTTGCTAAAATCGGGACTGTCCCGGCTAAACCGTGACGTGATTTGAGCCTAGGACCTAGGTAATGGGAATGGTTTGCTAACATTTACGAACGACACACATAATTCTAAAAATGCAACAATAGCAACAAGGATACTAATTATAGTAGATGATGCTTTTCAATGAGATGGATGAGTTTGGTGATATTCAACTCAGGTACAATCTTAAATCGTCTCATCCCATTTACAGATGCGCGATTCCGTTGTTTTGGTAGCAGTAATTCCACGATGGAAATAACAATTACGTAGTCAAATACATTGCATTTAAGATAATACCTTTTTTACAATGTCCGGAAGCTTGCAGAACGTGACGGGCGGAAGATAGCATCGGTTTGAGATCAGAATTTTCTCTGAAAAACCAATGTCAAGAATTCAACTTTGTTATCTGCTACGACTATGTTTACTAAAATTGACAAAGGTGTAAAGTGTTGGATAATTATCTTTGATACATCTTTCGCATTTTTTGAGTTCCGAAAATCGTTTTTATTCCACTAATCTCATAGTTAAATATAAACAAGCAATGTTGATAAGTTTATGATCTGATTCGCGATTATCATCATGCTTGTTTACTCTTTATTATGAGCCTCATTGGATACATAAACAGTATAGCATCCATATATTTGTAGAACGGCAATTGAAGCACGTCCTCAGGCAACAAAAACAAAGATAAGCTCTGAAAATGTCAGTTTATTCTCAGTCTGAAACAAGACACGAATTAATTCTTAATTACTGGATTGGCGTATTGGCTGCTCTAATATGCTGTTAATCCTGCTTCGAAGATTATAGCAGTCAGGATAAGCTGAAATTATTCTTCCAATTCGAGTTCTCTGGGCTGTTTGTATCTTCTTACTTTGCCTTATTAAAAAAGCTCGTATTGTGTGGCCAGTTTCTTTGAAACTTCCAATATAATGTTTTGAAAAAATATGAAATTTTAGAATATATATATATATATATATACTGGAAAACATTTATTGTCAAAATACTAGAATAATTCTAGTTCTGTCAATAATGAGTATATAGTCTCTGAAAAAGCCGTGGCAAGGTCAAAAAATACCACACACGCAGACTGCATCCTCTTCGTAATTGGTATATCTGATTCAAAACCACTTTGTTTTCTGTATATTACTGTTTCTTGAATTACCGTTTTCATAATTTGCAACTATCTGTTTTTAGCAAGTCAAACTTTTTGCGTAACAAAAAATTTTATGAAATGAGAAAATGACATTTTTTAATGCGTATGTTTCTGTATATATTATACGCCGAAAATTAAAATAATTTTGCACAAGTTTTGAAATTACGGTTATGATTTATTACGAGCTAACGAACTATAATCAAAACAATGCGTTGGTTCACATGAGAGTGTTTATAATCGTTGCACACTGTTCATATGTTCCATTTGTCACGTACACCAATTGTTTGTCGGGTTTTGAGTAATAGCTTCTGAAAACGAGATTGAAAGTTGATGATTTGTTTATCAACTTCTGTGTTTATTTCAATCTAACTGCTTACTTTTGAATAAATTCGTTTGTATATAAAGCGAGACTACGAGAGCGAAATAATTATTTCGCCTGAATCCATTTTCTGGATTTATGTGTTAAAAAGACCTTTTTTGCATGTTTGCTTCAAGAAGATTGTAATATTCCATCTAAAACCGGTTAAAGTGCCGCTAAGAGTAAACAAGGAACAAGAAAATACAACCATCGATAAAAGTTATAAATAGATCTATTTTTTTGCGACAAAAGTGAAAGTAAACAACAAACTGTGGAATGCGGAAGGTAATTCTACAAATACGAAATTATAAGGGAAGTATTTAACATGAAAATTTTTAGTATGAGAATTGGTTTGAATTGGATGCAAATCGAGTGGAAAACACGAATTTTTTAGGGCATGAGAATAGAAAGTTTAAATTAACATAATCATTGCTCTTTATATGCGACAAAGCTTAATGAAAATGCCTCACGTAGATGAGGAAGATTCCGCCACTTTTCAATTAATATTTTTTTCACAACTTTAGTTTAGTTAAAAAGGCCAGGACAGTGTCCCCAATGAGGCAGATAAACGTAGAAAGACGTACAAGTGATTTGTATTGGCGAAGTAAGCATTCATTGGATAGATATCCGGTATACCACCAGTGAAGATTTTTAGCCACATACGTAATATAAGACGTTACAAATCGGACGATTTCGCGCAAAGTGTTAAGGATGTTTCGTTTCACATGTAAAATATTACCGGTTAAAAAATTGTACCGGATGAAAAAAAAAAGAAACGCGATTGTAAATTTTATTTCATTTTATTTCACACCTTGACTCGACATTGCCACAGAATAATGTCTATTGGTAGTAAGAAGAATAACTCGTTATTTGGGAAAATGCTTACTGCTCGAGTTGTGCAAGGAAGGTTGTTGGTGCAGTTATTGACTGTGTCGTGTAAAACCTGACATTTAATAATAAAATTGACGGTGATAGAACAGCAAAGAGCTACGACAAGTTACTGCACCAAATGTCATTGTAGCATGACAACGTAGAACGAATGGGTTAATTTCAAGCTGCTAGCAATGCGGGTTTTGTCTTCTTGAAAGTTATTTTTTACGAAAATAAATATTTCAATTTTCAGAAATATTTAATTTTGGGAAAACAATTTAAGTTTCCACTTTTCTCCACATTGTATATGCGGAAATTTTTCAAATGACTTGAAGTAACTGTGTTTTTCACCCGATTTTCAGATTATTCTGTTGAATTGTTTTGTGAATTTCTTGTACATTCGACAGGAAATGGACAGGTTACAAGTAAATCCCATCGTGTTGCACAATGTTTTTTATACTTTACAGAGTAATAGAAAGCATATCTGAGTGATTAGCAAGATGCGATAGAGAAAGGAGAGATTCCCGACCGGGTAAATCAGGGGTCGGCAACCTACGGCACCACGTTGTGTCATATCAGGCATGTAATCTCAATAATGGTGCTATTGTTAGAGTACATGGAAGATGTTGCGAAATTAATGGTAGACAATTGTTGATTGTGCCGTAGAAACATTTTCATACGCCATTCTCAACATCGCATCATTTATCGTGATATAATGTACAATTAAGTCTTCTGTAAGTGCCTACAACAACTTCCACAGTCAGAAAGTGGTCGAAATTCCCTTAGCAACTAAGCCTGTTGAGTTTCACTGACAGTAATCTTTTAAGGAATTTTTGGAAACGTTCCTGGGTAAGTTAACAAGCAAATATAAAAGTAATGAAATTTTTGTTATATTCCAATTCTTATCGAATAGAGCTATTTCAACACTGGACTATCGCCGGCCGTTAAAAAGTTGAAGGTTAGTTTAATCTTCATGTACCAGAAACCTCTTGCGATGTGAATATGATGAAAAAATGTGATGTTTTTTGAACCTAAGATGCCTTGTCCTGTGCTTGTAATGTATAACATTTCACGGAAAGTAATTGTTGAGTTATTAGAAACGAAGAAGACATCCCAATATTATTCTGAATGATTAGACTGTAATTTATGGGCTACTAGACTGAAGTATTAATAAATTATGAGCAAATATGAGCAAAGGCAGTTGCAATAAAATATTATTTTACATGTCGACAATGAGAGCTGCCTCAACAATTTGGCATAAATACCGTTCGTTCTTTCATAGCTTACCCCATAAATAATCATATGTCTCAATATCATATTATTGACAATACCGTCCTGATTTTAAGAGAATCGCC